TCTTCCTGTGCCTGTCCCACCCCTGCCCTGCCTCTTCCCACCCAGTTCTGCCTCCTTCCTCCTGAGTGTGCTGTGTTTTTGCGTCCCCACCCCCACCCCCTCTCCTGCATGCTGCAAAACAGCTGATTGCGGTGGGCGGGAGGTGCTGAACTCTGGGGCCTGCGGATGGGAGGCGGGGGGGGGCTGCCGGTGGGTGCTCAGCACCCACCATTTTTTCCCCAGGGGTGCTCCAGCCCCAGAGCACCCATGGAGTTGGCCCCTATGCCTGAGCTGGGACCGGAAGTAGAGGGCGGGCTTGGGTTCCCCTACCAGGCACTGGGGAAGTGGCTTGCCTGGAACAGTTTGCCCTGAAAGACTTTGATACCCTGGAAGGGGAGGACCATAGTGACCTAGCTGGAGGGCCAAGTCATGAAAAGGAAGCTGCAGCTCCTGGAGCAAGAGGGGCTGCAGGGTGAGAGGGCAATGGGTGGAGAGACTGTCAGAGAATGGCCCAGCACCTGGAAGGAGCTAATTCCGAGAGCTACCAGGAGCCACCCTAGTGGTGAGTGGACCTGCTGACACTCCCCCCTGGGTAGCAGGGCAAAGTATAGAGGGAAACCGAGACACACCTTGGATTCAGAAAAATATTACAAAGAATTCCCACTTTGTCACACCCTGTTCATCTGGCTAGTGTTGTCCTCTCCCAAAAGTGATGCTCATCTCCACTGGGAACTCAAATGCACCATTGTGGAGGAGGGGGCTCCCCATGACTGATTTCCGATGAGGCTGGGTTTCCTCATTTTCCCCCAAGCTGGTCACCAATGCCCATGTGGCAGCATGCTCACAGCAAGGCCTCCTTTGAGACAGGCTGGAGTAGAATGAATTCCAAGCTGCATGCAGTGTTACTACTACAGGTCAGCAGCTTCGGTCAAATTTGGCCCGGGTGCAGTGGAGTATAGAAAGTAGACCAGACAGGCCACATAAACTTCGTGGGATAGTAGTGGGAGGAGTATTGGATGGAGATTATGGTAATAATTGGAGACTGGTGTGATGTAGCATCAGTGCTCTGGCAGTGAAAGGCAACACCTTTCAGACAGGATAGTCCCTGGTAGCTGCTTTTGCTCCTTTTAAAACTCTTTTACGTTGCTGGAGCGGCATAAGGGGGCCATAGCACTAGAGAACTAGCCCAGCTGAGTTGTTACTTTACTGAGAGTCCCATATCAATGGGACTACTATTGGAGTCAAGGTGTCAGAATTCAGTCCTACGTAAAACTCCCCGCTATCTTTTTCATTGTGTTTTTATTTAAAAAACAACAACAAACCAGACCATTTTAATCTGGTAAATATGAAAACTGCTTAGTTCATTCCATGTAACTCATCCTATAGTTGCAAATTAGTTTGTAAAATTCAGACACTGACCTAAATGAGACCAGATGTGCTATTGCTTGCAAGTGATATTTACTATTGCAATATCGCTCTAGCAGCATAAAATGCCAGATAGTGCTTAATTTGTAATTAGAGAGGTTCCGGGGCTCAAGCAATTTTTTTACATTCATAACTGATGCAGCAAGCCCAGAGATGCTGGGGCTATGAACAGCTTAGCCTAAGCACTGATTCCATTTCCTTCAAGTGTTGAAAACAGTCAGTTTTTTGCTTAAACCCCTTGACAAAGGGGGGGATATACTTGTTTCCCAATTTCTTGAATAAGAAACAGCAGATAGATGTTTATCAGGAAATGAGTAATGCAAACAATCTGGCTTTTTAGCAGAGGTGGAAGCATATATTGTAGGTTCCAGAATAGGTTTGTAAAAAATTAATTAGCAGTGAGTGGAGAAAGAATGATGTAGTGTTTGTTCACTTTGGAGATCTTGTTTAATTTAATAAAAATGACTAAACTAGAGATAACTGATGTAAATGCCTCTTAATAGCAAGTGTCTCTGAAGATACTGAACACTGCACCTTATAGTAGGGACAGGCAGATATTTAAGGCTGAAAGGGCCAGATTTTCAACAGTGGGCTTTTCAAAAGCACCTAAACAACTGAGGGTCTACCTCCCATTGATTTCAATGGGACGTAAGGGCCTAACCTGCTTCAGCACCTTTGAATATCCCAGTAGGTGTCTAAAGACTTCTGAAGATCTGATCCAAAGTTGTTAGGGGGTGTGTGTGTGGTGGTGGCGGTGCTGTTTTTGGAATTTACAAATGCTAACACTAGAGATCTTTTCATGAAGTAAAAAGAGGAAAAAACAGCAAAAACTGTTTTCATCCCACGCGCCACAAAATTTCTCCTGCCAGGTTTGCAATCCAAATATTCCAGCATTGTGCCAGTGCTTCAGAACCAGACATCAAAAACTGCTGAGAAACAGAAGTGAAACTGACTACTTGAATTGCTGAATGAATGTGTATAGATCAAGCACACAGCATAAACAGTGAAAACCGAGGGCTTGTCTACACTTAAAACACTGCAGTGGTGCAGCTACACCACTGTAGCGGTGCAGCTACACCACTGTAGCACTTCAGTGAAGATACAACCTACACTGACAGGAGGGGTTCTCCCATGGGCATAGGTACTTAACCTTCCGGAGATGCGGTAGCTAGGTCGACAGGAGAATTCTCCCATCAACTAGTGCTGTCTACAAGTGGGGTTAGGTTGGTTTAACTGTGGGTACGTCTACACTACCCGCTGGATTGGCGGGTAGTGATCGATCTATCCGGGGATCAATTTATTGCGTCTAGTGTAGACGCGACAAAATCGATCCCCGATCGCTCTGCCGTCAACTCCGGAACTCCACTGCGGCGAGAGGCGGAAGCGGAGTCAACGGGGGAGCGGCAGCAGTCGACTCGCCGCCGACGCCGACTTCAGCTACGCTATTTTCTCCCCCCCCCACCCCCAGTGTAGACCTAGCCTGTGTTGCTCGGGGTGTAGATTTTTCACACTCCTCAGCAACATAGTTACATTGACCTAATTTCCTAGTATAGACCAGGCCTAAGGCTATATCTACCCTGCATCAGGGGTGTGACTGCAGCATGTGTAGACATACCGGAGCTAACTTTGATCTCTGTATCTCAAGTAACAATAGCAGCGAAGCTCAGGCTAGTTGATCCCAGGATCCTGGGTGGGCTTGTACAGTCTGTGCTGTGTTGCTATTGTTAGTCAAGATACCTAAGCAAGCTTTGATCTAGCTATGTCTACACATGCTGCAGTCATACTTCTGATTGCAGTGTAAACCTACCCTAAGTCAAACCTGTGGTGTTAGTGACCTAGGTAAGGAGATAGTTTTTCACCTGAGTGCCCCTTTAAATATTTAAAAACATAATGTTCAAAAACTTAAGACTACAGTGACTGAATAAACCAAACCTAAATGACTGAGCTAGGGAAGGAAGCACTGTTTGATCCTGGCTAAACAACAGTTCCCAGGGCACAGCTAGTACCAGAGGTGCTTCAGTCAGACTGACAGCTGCATCAGAGACAATAGAGATCAAATTAAAGCTATTTGCAATCTGAGCATGTTTCCAACTAAGGTGTAGATGGAGGGCCTGATCTTGCATTCCTTGTGCACCTTGGGCCTTATTCTTCTCACTCACTTCAACGTACCTGCATAGATTGCCTATGGAATTACTCCTGGTTTTCACCAGTGCCAGGGAGAAGACAACTGGTCTCCTAGAACTCCCATTGACATCAGTCTCAGGCCCAGTGTGTTATAAAAACTGCACGTGGAAGGCGGCAACCAGTGATATGAAATAGGGAGCCCCAATGATTGATTTCAATCACCTTCCAGTATCACTAGACGAACAATCAACAATGAAAACGTAATAATGGGCCAAATCCTGAAGTCTGTAACTTAGTCACAGCTCTCAGTGAAGCCAACAGGCATTTTGCCTGAGTAGAACCAGAGTAGTAAAGGGCTCAGGACAGACAGAATGACAGCCCCCACAGAAATAGATGAACTGCTGTAACCAGCTGTCAACTGCTTATCAGCTGTTAATACAGTAACAAAAACCACACCTAAACAGAAGTATATAGAAAAAATATTCTGAAGTACAATTCCCTCCTATCTGTCAACATACCAGGAAAGTAATCTCTAGGCATTCTGTATAGGAGTGACAAAGAATAACATCAATGAATGGGCTGCATGCGAGATATGAATATTAACTCACTCAAATCCTAAAATGGTGTAAAGGGGCACAGCCTCTTCGATGTTAATGGACAGATCAAGCTCTGGAGAAATCAGTGCAGGTCCGATGGAGCTATGGTGAATTGTACCAGCTTTTGTTTTGTTTAAAATGGCTGAAACCCTTGAGCTTGGCCGTGCGCTTCCCACAGCAGTTTAACAGCAAAGCAGCAAGCATATGCTTTGCACAAGAGCCTTCACTATGAAGAACACATCCCTGGAGTCCCATTTCCTGGGTAACTCAGACATACTAATACCTCCCAACCCTTAAATATTTTTCAGATTGTCGCTCTATAGTTCATACAGATGGCGGTGGGAAAGGGATTTCCTGGCTGGTAGTAGCTCCCTAGAGCTGTGAGCATCAGCATGAGGTTGCTAATGCTACAAGCCATCCAGAGGCAGCATTTCTAGCGCTCACTTTTTCCAAGTGGTGTATCCAGGTCTATCACATTTTTAACACATAGTTTAAGCCGGTGCATTTACAGACACCTTCTTGAAATGCTCTTGGGGAAATAATAACTGGTATGAAGCCAACTCATTTTCGATTAGCATCTCTAAGGCTAGGTCTACACTACCGGGGGGGGGGGGGGGGGTCGCCCTAAGATACGCAACTTCAGCTACGTGAATAGCGTAGCTGAAGTTGCGTATTTTAGGTCGACTTACCTGGCTGTGAGGACGGCGGCGAGTCGACCGCTGCTGCGCCGCCGTCGACTCCACTTCCGCCTCTTGCCGCAGTGGATTTCCGGAGTCGACGGCAGAGCCATCGGGGATCGATTTTATCGCGTCTTCACTAGACGCGATAAGTCGATCCCCAATAGATCGATTGCTACCTGCCGATCCAGCAGGTAGTGAAGACGTGCCCTAAGACACAGACAGATTCTCAGGAGTAAATCCATCGATGCCAATGGCGTTAAACTGGTATGAGATCACAACCAGGTTTTTTCTCTCGTGGACACAGAGGACACAGTTGTCAGTCTGTTCAGAGAAGGAGGATGCATAATGGTTTTATATAAATATTCTTTTTTTTTTTCTGCAGATATCAGACTAGGTGCAGTATGATGTTTCCAAATGTTTTTGCTCAGATCTATGACAGGCTTGGTAGAACTCTTATTTTTAATGACTTTGGGCAATATCTGTCTTTAAGCGTTTTTTCAATGTTTATCAATTTAAATTTGTACAGTTGCAGGAAATTATGGACTGGGGATCAGACAATCATTGACAGACACTGAGATTAAAAAACGTAACCTTTATAATCACTAAAACACAAATTGTCAGCATCACATGTCAAAATATCCTCAGAGCAAACTAAGTTCTCAGGCAAAGAAAAATGCTGCTGATCTGTAAATGTCAATTATTGATGGAAATATTTTTTTTATCAAGGGTTGTGTGTGCATAGTGAAACTGACATCTGCCAATACACATCTAATCATTCCAAGCCTACACACCCGGTAAAGATATCTGCCTAGGCTGGTGCACTTCATATCCTGTTTGTTGCCTGAGAACTTAGGGCAGGTTCAGAGAAGGGCATGTTTTCTAGCCCATGGTCACAGGGTGAGCTTTAGGATAGCAGCAACATTTCGAACTGGAGAACAAGTCCACTAAGCACCAGAGTCACCGCTCAGATGCTGGGAAACAAGTTCAATACGTAGGTGAAATTCACACTGGAGTCCGGGGGCAGGAGAGAAGATATAATGGGTGGTTTTGCAGTTTAAGTGGGAGGATTGACCTTTCCTGAGGCAGAGCCGTCCCTACTCAGAGCAGGAGCTAAATGCCACACGGTGCCCTCTACTAAAAGACACAGCAAAACCAAATAAACAGCTTGCTCACCCCTCCCTTAGCCCCAAACATCAAGCCCTATGATTTCATCACATTCTGTTTTAAGAGAAATTGGAGGACATCATCAGACAGTCCCGGTGTTCGCTTTCCTTCTTCCAGTGCAACTTCTCCATTAGCTGGTGCTGAGAAACCAGCATTGCTGGAGTGGTTTGGAAAGACCTTGCATCCATCTCTGTTCAAAACCATCTGGGCCATGTGGAGACTACACAAGGAATATTTTCCTCCTTCCTTGTTTGCCAGGTCCTGAATTTTGAGAGAGAGCCATT